GCCAGGGGCAGCTCCCCGCCGGCGCCGCGGTAGAGGTGGAAGTAGCCCAGGTAGACGGCGAGGGCGGCCATGCTGTAGAGGAAGGCGAAGACGGCCACGGGGATGAAGAACTGGGCGGAGGAGGAGAAGTCGCCCACCAGGTGCACGTCGGCACTCCACGTCTCGTTGCAGAGGTTCTTCAGCGAGGGGGCGAAGGTGGCGTAGTTCAACCTGCCGGGCGAGGGGACACCGCTCGGCTCCCGTCCCCGGCCAAGGGCACCCTCTTGCCCTTCTTCAACCCTCGCAATTTCCTAAAACCCTTCGCAGACCTCCGTTTTCCATCAGCCGCCTCCTACAGGCGCCGGTGGTCACCCGTACGGCTCTCAAACCCGTCCCCACCTCTCTCCTCTTCCCCATCCAGGTTTGAGAGACCTTCCCATCCCTTCTTGGGCCATCAACCCCCCCCCGCCCAACCCTTCACAGACCTCCATTTTCCCTCACCCACATCCTGTGGGTGCTGTCGGACACCCGCTTGGCTCTCAAACCCATCACCATCTCTCTCCTCTTCTCCATCAGGTTTGGAGGACCTTCTCATCCCTCAAAACCACATGAAACCCTTCACAGACCTCTGTTTTCCATCAGCCACGTGCTACGGGTGCTGGTGGCTGCCAACACAACTCTCCAACCCATCACCACCTCTCTCTTCTCTCCGTTCAGGTTTGAGGGACCTTCCCAGCCCTCCTTGAACCCTCTAAGACCCCCAAATCTCTCCACAGACCTCCGTTTTCCATCAGCCACGCTTTGCAGGGGCTGTTGGCCCTCCGTACGGCTCTCAAACTTACTCACCACCTCTCTGCTCTTCCCCATCAGGTTTGGGGGACCTTCTCATCCCTTCTTGGACCCTCTAAGAATCCCAAAAGCTACTTGCAGATCCCTATTTTCCATCAGCCACGTCTTTCAGGTGCTGCTGGCTGCCCATACGGATCTCAAACCTGTCACCAGCTGTCTTCTCTTCCCCATCCGGGTTTGAGGGACCTTCCCATCCCTTCTTGAGCTCTCCAGGACCCCCAAAACCCTTCCGAAACCTCTGCTTTTCATCAGCCACGTCCAATGGGTGCTGTTGACCACCCGTACAGCTCTCAAACCCATCACCGCCTCTCTTCTCCTCTTCAGCAGGTTTGAGGGGACCTTCTTGTCCCTTCGAAGGCTCCCAAAAAACCCTTCGCGGAGCTGCATTTCCCATCAGCCACGGCCTACAGGTGTTGGTGGCCACCCACGGGGTTCTCAAACCCATCACCGCCTCTCTCCTCTTCTCCATCCAGGGTTGAGGGACCGTCCCCATCCCTTCGTGGATCTTCCAAGACGCCCAAAAAAGCCCCTGGCAGACCCCAACACTCACTGAAAGGGGTAACCGAACGCCGCCGTCACGGTGGTGTTGGGGCCGCCGCAGCAGCTCACCCAGAAGGAGACGTCGCCGCTGTAGCCGCCGCACGTGGCGAAGGCGAAAATGGAGAAAATCTGCGGGGGGGGGAAGGGGGAAAAAAAGAGGAAAAAGGTGGTTTGGAGGGTTTTTTTTAATAATAATTTTTAATTAGGAAGGCGCAGAAGCCACCGTGGGGCAGAAATCATCCACCACCGAGCGAATCCATCAGCGGGCTCGCAACGAGGGGTTAAATTTATCGTGCAGGTTATTAGCTCCAAACTGCTGCTCTCAACAGGAATTTGACCTAAAATTTAGGATTTTCACTCAGGTTACTAAGGCAGGAACTAAAAAACGGTAGATCTAGTTAAAACTCGCCGCAGCCAAAAAAAACCGCGTTTGCTCTAAAATAAAGCACACTGCAATCACCAACCCAAATTTGCAGCTTTTCCGGGAATTATTAGCTCTAGCCTAATAATTTTGAGTTATTCGGCGAGTTATTAACCGAAACGCTGCGATTACAGGACGTAAATCCCCCCCCCCCCCCCCCCCCGGGGGACAAACCCCG